CAAAGAGGCCCCCGTAATCTTTTTCACCAGTTGTCTAAACTGTTTGCTTGCAGGCTGAGAGCTCTGGAAGTCGCCCCTGCCACTGGCTTGTGCCGGCCTTGGCTGCCTTGTTTGTGAGTTTAGGGCCTCACTACTGCCTTGTGCCTGGATTCAGGACCTCGCTGCTGGTTTCCTGGGTACAGTGTGTACCGGGCTGCACTCCCTTCTTCTCCCAGTTAGGCTTTTCCTTTGACCTTCTGAGTGTTCTTGAGCTGGAAAATTGTTTCACCTCATCCTTTTGTTGGTTTTGCTGTTCCAAAGCAGTATTTTGAGGTGTTATTTTAACGTTGTTTAGAGGGAAGTTTGGGAGAGGTTGAGTAAGTCCCTGCCTCTAATCTGCCATCTTGGCTCTGGCTTCCAGGTTTTACTCCAGTTGAGATCTTTTCAATCCCAATCCTGTCACCTCTCATATTAGCCCAGCCTCAGACATTCCACAGGTTAGATGAGCGTCTGTGCTATCACCCGTTTCATTGACAAATGCTGAGTGAGCAGGGCTAAGGAGAGTCTCGTAGGACTCCCTCCCAGGGTCCCTCTGAGTCAGTATTGAACAACATTCATTCATTCTAAGTCCACTTAACTATGTTCTCATTGATTCCCCCACACTCCTGACTGTCACAAAGATATCTTAAGAGTTTGCCTTATTGGAATCTGAGATGGCTATGGCCATCATAACCTGTCCAAAAAGAAAGCCGAGTTGTTGTGACATGACTTATTCTTGGTAGTGCAGGTGGCCCTGCTCCCCTTTTTCCTAAGTGTTTATAAACTCTTTTAAAAATACTATGTTCAGCAGCGAGAGAGTCAGGAAGACCCGAGTTCAAATCCGGTTTCAGACCAGACACTTTGACACATACTAGCTCTGTGACCCTGGACAAGTCACTGAACCCCGATTGCCTCACCAAAAAGCAAAAAAAAAAAAAAGACCACTCTAAAAATACTGTGTTCTAGAATTCTTCCAGGATCGAAGTCAAGCTTTCTAGCCCGTGACTTGAAGCATCTACGTCCCTCTTACTTAAAAACAAAAAGCAGTGTGGACTCTTGGACTCTACTTGTCCCTGACTCCTTTCCTGTCATTTTTTCCCCTAATGAATGCTGTTGACTATCATTTTTTAAACTGATTTCATCTATATGCAAGTGTGATATATGGGAGGAAGGTGGTGGTGTTGGATCTTTTCAGTTATGTCCAACTCCTTGTGACCCCGTTTGGGGTTTTCTTGGCAGAGATAGTGGAGTGGTTTGCCATTTCCTTCTCCAGGTCATTTGACAGATGAGGAAACTGAGGCAAGCAGGGTTAGGTGACTTGACTAGGATCACACAGCCAGTAAGTGTCTGAGGCCAGATTTGAACTCCAGTCTTTCTGACTCGAGGCCTGGTGGGCTAACACTCTATCCAGTGCACCACCTAGCACTGTGATTTCTGTCCTAGTCCCATATCCTCCCTACCTGCTATGAACAGCTTTTATACCAACTTCAAATAGGTGGTTATATGATAAAAATTGAATGGATGTTAAAAAAAAAGTGTTCTAAGCCAGCTGTTTGAAACCAAGATGTTTTTCACATAGAAATAGTCCACATAATATAAAATACACAATGTATGTCAGCCATAGTACTGTTAGCCTTGGTGATGCAGTTCTTAATCTCAGAACCTGGCACTGTGTCTCTCACATGGTAGCTGCTAAACCAGTATTTGCTGGATTGAGCTGAATGTTTTCTGTCAGGCTCTTTTTAGAGATCAAGAAATGGGGGGACTCATTGGCCTGAAGTGTGATGGGGTCCTCTGTGCCATGCTACCAGGCTGCCAGATTTGTGTGAGGCCCGGCCTTCATTCACATGAGGCATATGGGGAATATCCTGTTCTTATGTCTCTGCTGTGAGGCTTGGACCCAGGTCTCCTGGACTGACTCCGGGGACAAGAGCTGACTCTGTCCTCTCTGCCATGCTCACTGCTGGTGTTTGTTAATTAGCCACGTTTCTGGGAAACAGCCCATCACCAGGAGTTCTGTTCCCCACATCCAAGAGGAATGTTGTAGGATTCAGGGCCCACGGAGGCCTCTGTCACAGAGGAGGTGAAGAGGGCTGGTCTGCAGGCACAGAGGACGTGGGAGCTGCAGCTGAGGCTGGAACTCAGGTTCTCCACACTTCCAGGTCTATCCACAAACAGGCAATTATTAAGCATCCATTGTATACTCTGGTATCTTACTCTAAGAAGCATTGGCATTGTAAAGACACAAGGAGATGTCCACACAGAATGTACATCTGTGTTTGTATAAAATAAATTCAAGGTCCTTTATTTTACATGTACTTCTATCAGAAAAGTCTTTATGTGGGGAGTGGCCTTTTCAGCTGGATTTTGAAGGAGACAAGAGCTGCTTAGAAACAAAGATGAGGCAGGAGGACTTTTAGGCTCGCGACAGTGCAGTTGTGATGAGCAGAGACACAGTGCCTTACAGGAGGGGCGAAGACATCCAGTTTGGCCGGACCTGGGAGTTCTCGATGGAGAGTCCACTTCAGAGCTGTGCGACTGCACTAAGGCTTTTGGGACACCCTGCATCCTCAGCTCGGAATGGTGGTAGGCCAGGCCTGGATTGTGAAGAGCTTTGAACGCCCAACACAGGAGGGAATGGGGATTGACATGACAGGGCTTAGCACAAAAAGTCTGGGACTTTTGGTTTAAAGTATTTGAGGTCCAAAAGTGCCTGGATAAGGTAAATGAGTAAAGTGCTAATTATGTTTAGGAACCAACAGTATTTTCCTCTCTGCTTGAGTCTGCCCACTTGTAAAATGGGTTGTGTCTGTACCTTACACTGATTGTCCCTCTTTTCCCCCCACAGCATGTCTAGGCTTCCTTGTGCCCAGCCTGGTCAGGGTTGGCAGAGGACCAGAACTATCTCCAAGATGGCATTTCAGGGACAGAGGGGGACAAAAAGAGCCCCACACGTCCCCGGGGCAGAGAAGGAAGGAGGCCATGTCCATGTCTCTGAGCTCAAAGCACCTACAGTTTCACACCAAACTTCCGGGGCTTAACAAGCTGGGAACATTCCTGGTAGCTGCTCTAGTTTCCAGCTCTCTGTACAAAGGAGGCAGGAGCTAGGCAGCCTGAATGCTCAGGAATGTGGAGCCTTTTTTTAAACACCCTTAGAAGGATGCCTCTGTTTGAGTGGGGTTTGGGGAAGCAGGGTGGGCTGGATGGTTTCCCGGCCTGTGTCCCACTGCCTGCTGTTGTGACCGGGGCCTGCTTTCTCAGGTGCCGTCCCTGTCTTAGGTTTTCTTCTTCCAGTCTTGAGGGACCAGGGCGGCTCTGTAACATTGCCAGCACTGCCAATTGGAGAAGCACTTTTTTCTTTTTCTGCCCCGTGAGGTTAAAGGAGGGGGTGGGGGGGTGCTTGTGGAGAGGGGGGGAGTTGTTTTGTTTGTTTAATGGAAGCTGTTGTTGGCTTTTCTCTCAACACCCTGCCCCAGCTGCTGAAGTGCTTATGTAAATAGTTACACATAAAGTTGGCTGTATGTGTTTACAGAGGCCTTGTTGTTTTAAAGGAGAGAATTATGTTCAGAATTTTGTTATTGTTGTGAAGAAATAAAAAAAAATTCTCCTGTCCTTGGGAATCAGTTCCAGCCAAACCTGGTGCCAATTCGTTGTGCAAGGATGATTAAGCTTTCAAAGTGAGTAGGCGGGATGAAGGGGCAGCCATTTGCCAAGGCGGATTAGCTCGCCAGTGCAAGCGCTGGGCTCTGGTTTTAAACCTAACAGCGGCTCCTTTTTCTTAATGATGGAAGGGAGTGGGTTAAAGCCAAAGCAGAACGGGCTGGCCTTTGTGGCCAGAGCTTTCCAGACAGCCCTCTGCTCAGTCACCAGTCCCAGCCCACTCAATGGGTGGTGCTCAGGTCTCTGCTCCCCCCAAGGGTGCAAGGTCATCAAGGCCTCTGTCCCCAAGCTGTAGTGACCCTGGCATGCTTAAAGCAAGGATGGGAGGCCAAGAGACCCTGGGGGGAGAAGGGTTCATCCATAAAGGGAGATGAGTAAGAAGGTACTGACAGGCAGGGGGATGGTGCATACAAGAGCCTAGAAAATGGCAGGAAAACTCTAGACAGAGTGGAGAACCCCAAGTCCCAGGCCAGCCAGAGTTGAGGGTGCAAGGATAGCCAGCTAGGAGAAAGAAGGAAGAATGGTAGAAATACCTGGCAGTGGTGAGGGCTTTGGCCTTGGAGCTGCTGCTCTCTTTGATGGCCTTCCCCTGATAAACCAGTGGAATGGATAGAACCCCATAATTGTGGTTGGTTAACATAGGAAAGGGGAGTAATGTCGGAAAAGTGGCCAAAGGCATCTCCTCTGCCCACCGGACTCAGGGACAGCGGCAACAAGAAATGGACCCTGCGGCTGACTGGAGCGCCGGGGTGGTCAGATAATCGGCCCCACTGTGTCCATCCCGGCCTCCGCCCCAGCCTCACTGGGTCAGCCTCATCCCATGACCAAGGCCAGCACTGTGTGGAATAGAAGGGTTTGGAGATAGCGATCGGAAATCCAAACCCGGCCCTGGCGAGGCTGGAGGGACTTGGGACCTCTCCTTTCACCGTCGGGCATTGCCTTTCAAGGGGAGTTGGTGTGAATAGCCTGGCCAGCAGAAAGGGAGGGTGAGGCTTTGTTTGATCTCCCTGGGGAGAGGGCCATCTCTTAGGGTTACCAGTAAGCACATCTTCCTTCTGTCTTTTGTTGTCAAGGGTGTTTCTACAGCCCAAAGAGATTGCTCTCTGTTTGCCTACTCTCAGGTTACAGCCTTCCAGAATGGGAGTCACATCTCCCGCCCTCGTGGTCTGGGTGCTTGGCTTCCTTCAGGACCCAAGCTTGTTGATCAGTTAGCCGTAGGCCTGTGGAAGATGGGCTGTCCAGACCTCCCCACATTGCCAGAGAATTTGTGCACCGTGGGTACCTTGCCACTTAACAGCTAATTACGTCCTGATCTCTTCCAGCCAATGACACCTCGTCCTGACTTCCCAATGGTGTTGGTGGGAACCGGCTCACTGCTTGTGCCTTTGAAAAGGAAAGCCCATGAGTGGTTTGGCCAGAGATGCTTGGATTTATATGGTGTTTCTCAACCCACATTTACTCTCATGGGTGTAAGGGAGGCTAAGTAGCAATTATTGGCCCCCTCTGACGGATGGAGAAACTTAAGGAAGTGAGTGATTGGGTCATGCAGCGAAGACCCCAGGCTTTGGCCCCTGGACACCCCGCTCCCCTCAGAGCTGAAGAACAGCAGCCTTCTCCCCTCAGAGGCAGAAGGTGAGCTCTTCTTTTGCTCCTGTTAGACAGTAAGCTTCATGAGGACAAGGGCTATGTTTTAGCTAAATTTTGTATCTCCCCTGCCAGTACCACAGTGCTTTGCACACAGTAAAAAATGTCTGTTCAACTGAATCTCTCCAGCTGACCAAGGATTAAAAAAATGGCTCTGCTTTGACCCTTGTGTGAAATGAGTGGGCACTAGATGGCGACAGGTCTCTCTTTGCACTTCTCTGATGGTCCCAGATGTGGGTGGAATGGTCACCTGAGTTTTGCCATGTCTTCTGTGCTAAGTGCCTGGATTGGCCACAGCTTTCTCTCCCAGACCTGCCACAGGAGAGAGAGCCTTTGGAGGAGAAGAAGCCATGACCTGGCCACTGTCAGTCAGCAAATACAACAGGCCCCTGCCTAGTCACTGGGGGCTTCGGGGGCAAAAATGAAATACTGACTGAGAGGAGTGATGTCATTTTTGGGGAGAAACCCCACAAATACGTAAGATGCCGAGTATATGCAGCAGAAACTGAAGGGTGGGGGAGGATCAGGGAAGGCCTCCTGGAGGCGGTGGTGTGGGAGCTGAATCTTCAGGGCACAAGGGCTGGTGTGAAGTGCTGTTGAGGAGTGAGGGCAGGAAGGCATTGCAGGTCCTGAGGGAGATCAGCTCTGCTATAGCCCCCACAGCTCCGCAGCATGCTGAGGGAGCATTCCTCTATTACAGTAAGAGCTGGCATCTATGCGGCGCTGGGAGGAGCATGCTATTATACCCATTTCATAGATGATGAAATGGAGACAGGTTAAGTGACTTGCCCTGAGTCACGTAGCCAGTAAGTGTGTTAGGATTTGAACTTGAGTCTTCCTGATTCCAAATCCACTGTACCACCAAGGTGTCTCCAATTACAATTTGGACCGTAGACATTATTTTCCAGAAGCACAGACCGAGGCCGCGTCCGAGCTGCCCTCTGGCCTCACAAAGGTCCTCCGACTTCCACACCAGCCCTCCGCACATGGAGCAGACCAGCTGTTGTTCCTTTGCATTTTAATGGAGGCGTCTTTGGGAATTCAAACTCTTCCAACCAAATGATGACGTTGCATTTTAAAGTTCTCAGGAGCTGGGAATCACTAAGTTCCTTGTCTTGCCTGCTCTGCTGAGCTTCTTCCTGTCCCCTGATGCCCAGGGCTGAGGGGAACGTACCAGGCCAAGGAATCGACAGAGTTTCACTCTGAGCTCTATCCTCTGGCTGGCTCTCACCTTTTTTTCCCTCTCATCATCCGCCTCCCCTTCAGGGGTGAGGCGAGGAAAACTAGTGCTTTCCTAATGAGGCTGTGGAGAAGAAGAGGCCAGAGAACTGCGGGGGTCAGTCAGTCATCAAGGAGCGAGAAAGTTAACGGGGTGTTGCAAGAGTGTGGGAGGGGGACACATCAGGACAAGTACCTAACAACATGCCTGTCAGTGGGTAGCCATGGGAAGGGAGAAGATCCTGGGCATAGGAGTTCTTCACAATTTGAAGAAGGGTGCTGTAGGGAGACCCCACCTTAGGAGTTCTGGTTTGGAGTCTGGGCTCCCTATAAATGCCTCCTCTCAGTAATCCCCCTGCCTCATTGCCCTACACGTGCACCCAGAAGACCACAGTGCTAGGGGCTCCACTTAGAAGAGTGATTAGGGCTGTCTGAGCGATTGTTCCCAGGCTCTCAACCCCTGGGCTAGTCAGCTTGTAGGGCCCCACCAAGGTTTTACTGCAAATCATCTCCAAAAATCAAAACTGTTGCAGTTTTCCCTTCATACCTGTGAGAGGCTCCTGGTCTGGTCTGGTCTGGTCTGGTAATGAGGGAGCTGGCCAACAAAGCTGATGCCAAGTCCCAGTCTAAAGCTCACGTGGTACCATTGCTAGAGCATTGCTGTGACTGTTGACATGTAGCTCTCCCACAGGGGAGCATCCTCTAGATGTAGGAACCCCAGGAGACCTTCTGCCCTCCTTCCAGGAGTCTGGACTTTGCTGCCTCCCATCAGAAATGATCTGTAGCAAACATCCAGCCCCCGTGAAACTTCTCCTAACTTCTCCCTTACTCGGATCACTTGAAATAGGCAGCTGGTACTACGTTAATGTGTTCATTCATGTTTCTGAAGGGTGGGGGGTGATTTTTGTTTGTTTTCTTCTCTCTCAGAAACCGGAGTTGGGGGGGACCTCCTGGTTGCTCCCACCAACACCTACTTCAAGGGTCTTCCTTCAGAGGGTTCACTGAAATGGATCGCCCACAGCTGGGTTTTAAGCTCTAGGTGGACCTTACCTGTTGACTGACTGACCGCTGCAGCACTTTGGACTGTCCTGAACCTTTCAGAGAGCCAATGCCTCCTTGTCTCAGAGAAGCCAAGGCCACTTTATTCCCTGCCCATTACTTTCCATGCCGTTGGAGGGAGGGTGTCATCCATTGAAGATGCATCTGTCTGAGATGAAGAACCAGAGGAATTGACGAGTGGACAGAAGAGGGAAGTGACAGATTCCCGCAGCCTGCGTGCCCATGATGAGTCAGTGGTTAGGACCACAGAGAGTTCCAAGTGTCCCCATTCCAAGGCTAGCAACCTCATCCCTCCTTCCTACAGACCAGTTCAGCCCCTGGGGCCGGGGCTTCAGCTGAGCCGGTTGCGAGACCGTGCTATAGATGCTGAAGGGGGTCCGAAGCACGATAATTAATAGATGTTTACTGTCTGGTAGGGGAGATGAGAGTCACAGGTGCTATTTAGCAGTTTAGGAAGTGAGCCACGGAAGACAGTAAAAAGTGGGCTGTGAGCTCGGCTTGGAAGGGTGAGGGGAAGCCTAGTGGTCTCTGCCCCCCAAACATGTGTGAATCCCTGGCCAGGGCCACCATTTCTTGAGTCACTCAGGGCGTGACTCCTGCCCCAATCCTTGTTCTAGGATGAACTTCTGTGCCTTCCTTGAGAACAGCCTAACTACTCCCCTTCCTGCCATCCCCCCACAAGCTGCCCATTGGATATTGTCTTCTCTCTCGGGAATGTGAACTCCCAGAATCGGACTCTCTTTTTGCTTTGTATTCACATACCCGGTGTCTGACACATTTATATGTTATCTCTCCAGTGAAGTGAGTGTAGAAGGTGAGGGAAGGTCTGCACATGAAGACCATTGACTTGGACTGGAGGGCTTATGAGGGAGATGTGGAAGGTAATTGGGAGCAGTTGGGTCCTGGGATCTGGAGCTGGATAAGATCTTAGAGATGTGCAAGAGCCCAAGGTCACACAAGAAGCAAACAACAGAGCCAGGATTCAAACCCAGATCTTACGACTGGGAGCTAAGCCCCGAGTCAGAAAGACTTGAGTTCAGATGTGACCACAGGCACTTACTAGCTGTGTGACTCATGTATAACTGAGATCATATTGCTTGCCTTCTCAAGAGTGGGGGAGGGGCAGAAAGGAGGCAGAGAATCTAGAACTCAATTTTAGAAAAATATTTAATATATTTTTGAGAAAAGAATAGCGGTGTGACCCTGGGCACACTTAACCTCTGCCTATCTCTGTTCCTCACGTCTAATAATAGTATAACTATAATAATATAATAAATAAATATAAATAGAATATAGAATATATAGACTATAGAATAATAATATCTCTTATCTCCCAGGGTTTTATGAGGGTCAAATGAGACATTTGTAAATGGCTTGCACAGTGCCTGGCATGTAGTAGGTACTTAATAAATGCTTATTTCTTTCCTTCTGACTCCAGATCGAAGGCTTTTTTACTTCTTAACAATGTTGTCTCATTTTTGCCTTACTTATTGATATCTTTTGCTTTTATACCCATTCATTTCTAAATCCGTCCCTCCCCCCTTCCCTACCCAGTAAGCAGCCCTTTTAACAAAGATGAAAAAAGAAAGGGGGGGGGAGCACATCAGCAAAACCATCACATTGACCGTCTCCAACAGTGCATGCTCATTCCCCCTTAGACCTTGTATAGCTGCAGCAGGCATTGAATGCCGTGTTAATAAGAAATTTGGACTTTCCCATTGTGAGCAGGAGAGTGACGTAAAAGCAACACGTGAGGAAGGTGCATCTGCCCTGCTCTTCCAGATGGACCAGAGCGTCTCTCCTGGGAGGCAGGGAGACCAGGCCTGAAGTGATTGTGATGACGGTCATTGGGTTGGAAAGGAAGGCCTAGGCCTAGGCAGGTGACACACCCACTCTTTTTTTTTTTTTTTGGCTAGGCAATTGGGGTTAAGTGACTTGCCCAGGGTCACACAGGGAAGAGCTTTGATAAGCCTGAGAGTGTTGAAAGGAGGGTGGTCATAATGGTGTCTGCCAACCCTAGAGAACAAGCAGCCTCACCTGTGCTCAAGTATCAGAAAGTCCCGTGCTGCTTGGCCCGGAGGGCAGAGCCAGGACCCTCGGGGTGAAAGGCCCCCTGAGGCCAGGAGTGAGAGCTGGGCAGCCCGCTGCCCCTCAGGAGGGGCCTCGAGCCAAGCCCAGACAACCCCTCCTCAGGTGGGATGTCAATGACTCTCGGGGGCTCATAGGAGACCCCCAGGGCCCTTCCAAACTCTGACATCTCCTGGGAAGGATCAGGTTTGAGATCTCAGCCTTTAAGCAACAGGGCAGGCCCTGGGCCTGGTGTTTATGGATGTTCTGAAGTACTTTCCCGAATATTCTCTTCTATTAACAGCCCTGTGCTGTGGGTAAGATTCGTTCCACTGCTTGTAGGTGACAGGTGACAAGGGAGCGCAGAAAGGTTGACTCCTGTGCTCGGGATCCATGCCAGACAGCTGAGGAAACGGAGAGAGACAAGCCTGGCCTCCTATACCCAGGGACTACAGACTGGCTGTCGGCTAAGACACGTGCCTGGAATCACACAGCACTAAGGGAGTTGGGTTTTTTCTCCCCTGCTCTGGTCTCTGCCAGGTCAGGTTGTGCCCTCAAGGGGACGAGGCTAGATGCTGTTACAACGATGTCACTCCTTTCCTTTCATGGCAGATTTCTATAATCAGGGCAGGTGAGCGGAAGAAGTTCTGTGAATACAATTCTAATTTTATTAATTAATGCACTGACACCGAAACATCTCAGAGTTACTATAATAGGATGCAAGTGTGAAAAATCTGCATTTGTGGTCAATTTCTAATATTAGGGATGATATCCTCCTGAAGGGGGAATTAAACAAAGTAATAAGACAAAGATATAATGTAAACATTTTCTAATTAAATGGAATGGTAAATTTTGAGAAAGCACCAGCATTAGACTGCTTTCTCTAACAATAATATGTATGTATGTGTGTGTGTGTGTGTGTGTGTGTATGTATGTATGTGGTTGCCTTCCAAATGTATGGAAATTCAGGCTTTTAGTTATAAGTTCTCAAAATTGGGTTAAGGATTTTACATATAAAATTGTATTGATAATTATAAAGAAAGTGAAATTATCTTCCCATTTTTAAAGTATCTGATCATTTTTAAAAGACAGTTCATTTTGCAATTAGACCTTCAGGAATTTTTTTTAAGATTCTTTTATCAGGTACAGGATTTAGGTAAAGATCAAAATGGCAAATAACCTATCAAAATTGAAATTCTCTGGTTTCAAGATTGGAGAACCAAATTTAAGAGATTGTGCTAACTGATATTAAGTCTTGGTTACTAGCAGTTTTTATCAGAGTTACCTAGGAACCTCTACAAGTGGTTTGGAACTATAGAAACAGAGCTTCAGAGCCGTCTGGAGAATGAGGGCTCTTTCAGAAGGTTCGAGGAACCAGATGATTACAAGAGATATCTGGGACTCAAGATGCGCTCGGTGAATGGACTTGGGGAGTGAGTTCTGAGGATAAAGGGAGATTTGATGTTAGTTAATATCAATGATCATTATTATATTGCTTTGGCCTTTTGTTTCATGATGTTTGAATTTTTATATTTATGTTTGAATTTTGGTTACCTTGGTGATGTGTAAATCTGCCTTCCCAAAATTAGTCCATTGTGATTTGATTTGTAACCTGACTTATGTAATTCTGATTATGAATATATGGAAAAAAAAAAACCTCACTGACTGGCTTAGGGAGAAGTGATCCATGGGAGGAGAGTGCTTCCAACTCAAAAATAAAAAGGGGAAATTGAGGAAATTGAGAGAATTGAGGGGATTCGGGCAGCAAACGGTTGTGGGAATTGATTGAACCACACAGACTCCATCTTGTGACTCAATTCTGGAGCTAGCTCAGTTTCTGTTCAGCTATGGGTACAGTCCAATTTCTGTCCTGCGAAAAACTTTATTCAGTTGTGGGCATTGTTTGAACCTAGCCCTGAGTGGCTGGGAAGCTGGACCGCCTCTCCCTGCTGCTTAGAGACCCTCAACTAAGGACACAGGTTATGCTGACCAGAAACCCGGTCAGATCTGAAGCTCGATGCAGGGGGTTTTCTCACAATTATGCATCTCAGGCAACCTGTACATCTTGTCTGAAAAGTGGCTCCCTGCTCCTTGATTGTTCACAGACCCCTGGGGGGAGCGGGACACCTCCTTTTCTGAATTCAGGGAATTGTACCTGTTTGCTCTGCCCCTCCCAACTTGGAAAGTCCCTAATCTTTCCTCCAATCAGAAATCAGATGACCTAAAGTAGCCTGGTTAATAGGTTTTTTTTTTAATCAATCGGCCTCATTTGATTGTTTTTTATGTATAAAAATCTGCCTCCTTCTGTATTTGGGGTCCAGGCCCACACTGAGGAAAGGCCCTGGTCTGGATTTGTTGGGCATCGGCATGCATTGCTTAATAAGTCCATAAGCTTGGAATATTAAACCTTTGGTTTCCTCAGTCATTTCATCTTTCACCTGCCCCGCAGCTAAGCCCCAAACTCAGCTCCCCCACCTCCTGTAGACTTGGAGCAGTAAAGGACTTCTGGGGCTAATCCAATCCAACCTCCTCATCTTACAGATGAGGAAACTGAGGCCCAGAGATGGGATGTGTCTGACCCAAGGTCACACAGGCGGGAATGGGCAGAGCCCCTTTACATGGAGCCCACATCTTCTGACGCCAAATACAACCCTGTTTCCACCAGATGGAAAGGGCAGGGCAGACTTTCCCAGAAAGGAATGAAATGGTGGCTTGGGGTGGGGGCAACCTGTCCCACGGGATGGGGGAAGCAGGGAGAAAAAGGGCAGCCACAGCAGCCTGGTCCTGAAAGCCTCCCTCTGGGGGCAGCTTGCTTGGCTCTCTGGCCACAGTGAAGGCAGCTCCCCCCATCTTTCACCACCCCCAGGCTGCTGGTGGGCAAGCGGGCGGGAGCCTCAGCCTTTGGATTTCCGTTGCCATTTTCGGGGAGTCAGCAGAGCGGAAACAGCATCCAGGCGCCAGCACCAGGGCTGCCGTGAAGCCCAGGCCTGGCACCTCCAGTTCTGCTGTTTGCTTCCCATGTTCTGACCTCCCCCCCCACACACGTTTGTGTTGGCAGCCGCCCGCAGAGCAGAGCCAAGCTGAGCAGGCCGGATTTAATTGGCCGCTGCCTCTGCGGCCTGGGTGTTATGAAAGGCTTTCTGTCTGTCTCACAAAGTCACCCTGACTCTTGTTTTCATACTGAATATAATATTCACTTCATTTTTAACAGAATAAAGGTTCTTTGGTCTTTTTTTTTTCAACCCTTCTTCCAAATATATACGCATATTACACACATATATATTTTTAAAGTCCCTTCATGCGGCTGCATTATAAAGGTTGGAATTGTCCTGGAGAAGGCAAGTAAGAAACCTGATGCTGAATGTGATTTAGACAGAAATTCCTTTCTTTCCCTGTGTCAGGACACCGGGCTGGGGTGTGGAGAGGGGGGCTGTGGGCAGAGAAAGGTCTCCTCGTGTCGTCCTTGCCCAGGGTTTTCTTGCTTTTTTGTTTGTTTGTTTTCAAACTGAGCCCCGCAGAGCAGGGTTTGGACTGGGGAGGTCAGTCGGAAACCTGTGAGAGGCAGCCTGGGATTGGGTGGGATGGGGCTGGGGGTCCCGATGGTTGCTCCAGCAGCTTTCACCACACTCCTCCGTTCCCATAGCTCTCTGGGGCTGCTGCTAATGAACAAGCTAGTGAGTGAGCCCGTTCACAGAGTTCAGAAGCTCATCGAAGTGGGAGGGCCTGGACCAGGATCTCTAATTTCATTGACGTTTGGGAATTCTCAAGATGGACCCTCCCTCTGAAGATCATTAGGTAGTAGATTGAAAACTGGAAGAGACCTTAGCGTCTAACCCCTAAGGCCGGGAAAAGTTCGACAGCTTCCTCAAGGTCCCACGGGGCTGGGATTGGAACAAAGTGTTTGGAGTAGGCTCCCCTGCCCTGGGGGCTAATTGGAAATTCATTGGGAAGGTGGAGGGTTCAAGTGCCAGGTTTCCACTTATTCCCCAAATGACCTTTGACAAGCCCTGTCCCCTGTCTGGG